ATTTAAAATTTAAAGTTGATACGTTTTTGGACTTTTCAAGCATTTTGCAAAAGTAAAATGAGTAAAAATTTCAGGTAAAAATAGAATATTGAATAGAATAGTCATACGTTCATAATAAAATGGAATATATTCTGGAAAAATGATATCATGAGAAAAATTAGAAATTTAAATGTAGCAAAAGAACAAAAATAATCTTTCCGATCTTATAATATTTTTTCAATTTTTAAGAAAAGTAGAAGTATTTTCGAGTAATATTTGTAATTAAAGATTAGATCAGTTCTCCAAATATTGCAAAAAAGAAAAAAAAAGAGAATATTCTGTTTTCTCGTTCACCGCCATTTTCTTTTCTTCGCCCGTTTGGTTACCACATTATGGCGTTCCACCACCATCGTTCAGGCGGCAAATTCGATTTGCAGCTGCTGTTCGTTCGAACAGCAGATTGAATTTCGATGGCGTTTCCGCGTGACAAGCGGGAAATATTGTTACTTCGTCCAGCATATGTTCCTTTCACCAACAGCCAACAACTATACTCGCCGTTTATTTGGTCCACCAACCCTTTCCATATGCTTTCACGCCATTATTTCATTAGTCCAGATTATCAATTTATTTCAATAATAATAACTTGCATAACACAATATATATATATATTTCTACATCTTTTAAAGCACTGTTATGAAAACAATTGGATATCCATCCGAAAGAAAATGTAATATTAATTTTGCCAAGAATTTAATAACAAGAAAAGTGTCGAAGACTAACGAATATGAATTTTGTTTGTTTGTTTGTTGGTTCGATACGTTCAGAAAGTTGAAAGAAACTCAAAAACATGCCACACCTGTTGATTTCGAATTCAACTCGTTCGAGCGACGTCTTGTTCACCAACTCGAATCGAAAAGTGGTAGCTTCTCCGCTCACGTGTGCTTTTACAAGAACAAGAACGATCGTTTCGCGTGAAATTATTATCCAGAGCCTGCCATGTTCAACAGGCTATTAATTATACGCCTCATCGCAGCTCCCTCTGAGAGTGGAAGAGACTAAGAAAGCGAGATCGATTTTAACAAGACGTCTAGGCTTTTCTCTCTCTCTCTCGCGATTCCCTTTGAGACCAGTTTTACCGGATCGTTCGTCGGTAGATGTTCGAATTTCCACTTAAATCGACCGATTGCCGCCGATAAATCTTCATTTTTCGAAAGAAAATTTTTATTTTGGCTAACTTCACTCGAGCTTCGATTAATCTTTTTGGGAATACGGATAATTGGACAAGTTACAGAAGAAGATATGATGATATGATGGATGATATGATTGATGATGCGACACTAGCGCCACGAGACCGTTAACTACTAATGTCCAATATAATAATATTTATTTAGTTATACTTTTTTTTTTTTGTTAAATTATCTATTAGAAATATTATATTTTCCTACAAACAGGAATTAGATTTTAATTATTTTCTAATAACAAATAAGAAAAAATCGATAGAGAACAAATAAAATGACGGATAAAGATGAACAAGAACTGATTATTTTAAATATTTAACTTTGCATGTTAATTTGGTTTTAAATAGTATCATTCACACGTATAAAACTACCACGTACTCGTAATAGACTGACTGAAGGGGAATCTGGTTTCAATTACAGCATAAAAAGAAGCTTTGCAACAAAGAACCATTGTTAGATTTCCATCTTAAGTTTCTGTTTGAGAAACAGTGTTCGCGTCACGTTTATCCTTCATGCTCATGTGCATACATTAAAAAAGTTGAAGAAATAAGAACAAAGTTTTTCAAACGTATAAATTAAATAGTGCTAATTGTAGAACACAAGATAAGAGTGTTCTCCCTTTTCTTTTATTTATCTTGCATTCGCATCAAAACGAGGTTATTCACACTGTGTAACTGACAAAGATTCGATAATATAATTCTGTTAAGATCATAATAGGATTCGTAAGATTTCATGGAAAATTTTTTAAAAAGACTAATAATAAATTGTAAAGATTCGATGAACGAAAGGTTTGTTAAAAATTTTATCAAATCTTCAATCTTGTGATTGTTAATTGTTTTTTTTTTTTTCAAAAATGTATTGGAATATATTTCTAGTTTCTATAAGTAGATATTAAATTTTTTGCTTTCATGTTTTTTATTTTTAAAGCAAATGTACCGTTATTATTTTTCCAATAAACACCTCCCCATACTTTTTTTTTCCCCCTAACCCCTTTATTCGTGGTTACAAAAATAAACGTTTTATCGACTATAAACCACTTAGGGAATGAAAAATATCGAATGTTGAATATCGAAAAAAGAGTCAGGCCAATAAGAAATCACCTTCTCGAAAACTTTCTAACGCGAAAAGAAACAAAAAAGGAATCACGAGCTGCACCCAGTTTGACCCAGTTTTCGAATATGACAAATACTCCGTTCTATTCTATTCGAATAAAAAAAAAAAAAAAAAAAGAACAGCATCGAAAATCTTTCTCGAAGAAGAAAGAACGTTCCTCGATCGATCCTCTCGAACCCCTTACAAATGAACCCCTTAGCCAATCGACAACCCTCCTTGCGTGTTTTAGAAGCCCTCCCTTATCTAAGAATAAATTATATAATCCCCGTTCGTTTTAATTAAAATGCGAAATTCAAATTTCATTTCTTCTTTTTATAAAGAATGTTAATTACAGGAAATTTTATATAAATATAAAAATGAAAAAAAAATTTTTTTTTTTTCCTATTTCCTCCAACAAATCCCAACAAACGATTTTTCGTATTCTAGAAAGATCGATTACGCAATTTCTTGCAGAGAAACGTACCACGGTGTCATTAATGATAATCTTGGAACAGAAGGGGGAAGAATTATTGAGAGAAACCAAGGAACAAGAAGGGAGGGTAAATAAAGTATATCCAGTACACCGTGCTAATGTCGCGCTTTGCATACGTTATTTCGTGCAGTTTCAGCCAGGGTTAATGCCGTGCCACTCGTTTCACGTCAGTCGAGATAGCGCGCGACACAGGAGAGAGGTTATGTACACCGCGTTACAGGTTATGTACCGAGCAGATAAAGGAAAAGAGGGGGGAGTTAACGATCAGCAGCGTGTTAAGCGTGTGATGTGTTAAAGGAACAGGGTGGTAGAATTGATTTATGGACTGCAACCACCTTTCGAGATGGATTTTTTTTTTTTTTTTTTAACGATACGATGTATGTAGGCTAGTTACTTTCTAGCGTAATCTAGGGTATATTAGTAACTTTCCTTTTACTTCAATTTGGAGGAGAGATAAATGTGCCTTCCTTCTTCTTGGGAAACTTTAATTTGGAATGAAATTTTAATTTTGAATTCGAAACTTCGAGACGAGATCGAAAGTTTTAGATTCAGAAAATGTTTCGTGATATGCTTGGGGAATTATTTCTAGGTATTTCTAATAGTATCTAATTAAGTGACAGTTTAGTAAGTTTTTTTAGAATTTTTATTTTTTTTTTTTCTCTCTCTCTCGTCCATTAGATCTTGGTAATTCTTTCAATCAATTTTTTCAAAACGCATTATTTTTTGTCATTGAAATATCTCGTCAACTTAAAAATTCAATTCGACAATTTATTGTCTCTTTTTCCTCGGTAAAGTCACGTTCGTGAAATTATTCACGACTTGCAAAAATTAATAACCCGTGACGCTCGAAAAATCGTTTGGAAAGAAAGCATCGATTCATTCAATGATCGCGTAATAACCGTGCCGGTTACGCGTCGATGAACGCGACGATTCCCGCGTAATTGCTCGTAAAACGTTCATTGATCCAAGTCGTAGACAACTCGAAAGTAAGTAACTCTTGCTCTTTTTAACGCCCACACGCATTGTCTGTCGATCGATCGATCGACACTTGCGCAACGGTGACACGAAAATAAATTGGCCGACTTGGAACGAAAACGAAGGAGAGAAGAAGTTCTTAGGGCGGTTACGATTTCTTTTGTGTCTCGATTCGGGAGAGGCTGGTGAACGCATCGAGTGGTGTCACGTGATCCCTGTGCTAATAACTATTATTTGGAGAGTGTGTGTACAGGGTGTCATTTAAAAATGAATCGAATTTTCTGATCTTGGAGGTAACGAAATAGAAATTTGATCGTTTCTTGGATAGGTGAGTTAATCGAGAATGGGATAGAATTTCTGATTTGGATCGACAATATACAGGGTGTCTCTAAAGTATAATCTTAGTGTAGAAAGAAATTTAAAAATTATTCGATTGAAGATCAGGTTGGAGTGGAATTTTGTGAAAGATAGGGAATAAAATTCGTACGTATGTATACCGGGTGTCTCGTGGAAAAATTTCTAATCTAAAAATCGAAAACTTGAAAAAAGTGTTGCGAATATAGATTGATCGATCGAAAGAGAGATTTTTAAGATACTTACAGTGATTGAGATTGATATTCGATGAACGATAATCCTCTTCGGCTTCAACAGCGATCTAACCTGTAACGTTGAAAAATTTTTAGATTAAAAAAAAGAAAAAAACACGTTCGCACTAAATGTGAACAAGGTAACACGTGAACTTTTATCACTCTCATTCAGTTCTTGGCATTATTTCGGAATAATAAAAGATAGTAATCCTCTATGGAGGATTGTTATAAACGTTGAGCGACATGGCATTGTTCTATTATTATAGAGATACGGTTGGAACACTCTCTAACCAGTAGGCTGAATATTTTAGACATATAAAGGCAAAATGATATGAATAGCTGTACATTCTGTAGTCGAAAAACAATTGCACAATAGTTGCTACTCCATAATTTTCCAATAGTTGGTTATATTGAGAAAAGTTACTACTCTTCCTATAATTTCTAACGATAAACAGAGAAATGAGTAGAATTGAAAAATTAATAATCATTAAAATTAATAAAATGAAATCAAAATTACTCGAGTTTTAAAATAAGAATTTTGATATTAAAATAATATGAATAAACGTAGAAAATATAGTTTTTTTTTTTAAAACGTTTTAATAATTATCGGATACAATTTTCGTATTTTAAGATAGATAGGAACAGGATTTGTTCGAGAATGAACGAGAAGTTTCACTAATCTTTGGTAGCTTCAGTGTGCTCTAAAATTCTAGCACGTTCCTGTAACGATTCTAGTTGGACGTTACACTGATTGGCTGATATTCAACAATTTCAATTACCAACCGTCGTGTCTCAGTGTAATCAGTGTCGCTTTTCCCTAGAAACGTTGGATACGTACCTACACACTGATACTTTATAAAATTTCCCTAGGAGCAATCGAATTACGTTACAATCAAATTTATCGTTATAAAACGTCCACCTTTCGCTTCATTCAAAAGGAGAGGCATCGTTTTAATTCCCCTTTGACAAATTATTACTTTGATGCGTAATTATGGATAAAGGGAAGATCCTAATTTTTAATTTATATTTTATTTTATAATAAAAAGAATTATAATAAAAAATTTTACCTTGTTACTTTATGTTAAAATAATTTTATTTTCTATTTCAGTTCCAAACTCTTGAACGATATATCCTAACTCAAGCCTAAACAAAAAGTATCATATTCATCAGGTTTTATATATTACGCGATATCAGTATGTTTTATGAGATAAATAGTAAAGAAAATTCTTTGCATAAATATAGACTCGTAAGCGCTTTGTTAAAAAGTTAACTTCAATGATGGACAGGTCAAGGCATGCCACTTCTTTAACAGTCAAGATGATTAGATAATATACTAATCGATTTTCATTTGCAAGAAAATTGAAAAGAACACTTTTATATTATAATTTTTTACATGAAATATAAAAACTAATTATCGTCATAAATAATTTTAAATAATACAAATATTTAATAATAATCAATCCCATAAATTAATACATATTTATAATATTTCTTTCGTTACAAAAGTTGCTTACTATTTACAAAAATTTTAAATCGTTCACAATTATCGTCTCTCGATACCACGAAAATTTGCACACTCTGTAGAAAAGTAATAATGTACAAATATTTGGTCGTGATACAATCTCGTTCGTTCGATGCCAGTTAATTATCCGGAATTACGTAACGCGGGAAATTCCGGCCTGATACCAGGACGAATTTCAGGGCATTTGCTAAAACCAGACAGCCGAGGACGAGGAAAATAATCGGATTATACGGACAAGCACGCTTTAGAGTGACCGTTTAATCCAGTCGTTACAGTGTATCACCGATACACATCGTATAGACGAGAAAACGTGTACCTCGAAATCGCCACTCTTACCGCTTTGAAGTGAGCTGATTACCAGCCATATCCATTCTCGAGCATCGATCGCGATATCTCGCGGTATCGACGTGAACTAATTTCGCCACAATTAGATCGTCGTTGTAACGCGGTGGCTGCGGTCTGTATTTATGCGAGGACATTTCGGGCACGATTTAATCGCAAATCGAAAGTGTCGTGTAAACTGAATATCTGTTTGGATTTGTTGCGTTAGACTCGACAGGGATTTTTGAATATTTTGGATTTTTAAAAATTTCGAAACAATTATTGGATTTTCCTTTTTTTTTTTTTTTTTTAGAACGTATTTAAAAAAATGTGGTATAATTGAGAAAGAATATATCGACTATTTTTATCGATTACGCCAAAAGAAAGTCGAAGAGAACTCTATCTAAATAAAATCTCGATATATCAGGTTAAGTTAGATAGATTTTTCCTTATGAATTCTTCTGACAACCCTGGTCATCACTGTATTCCCTAGACAGCCATTTTCCCCTATTTCCAGCAATCTCACATCCTCCCCCGAGATAACTATGGAATAGAGTATAATGATAACCTTACACGTCTATCCGAATGCAATCTCGCGAGCATATCGGAATGAGCAACAATCGCTCGATCAACACCTGTGCTGGTATCAGGTGTTATCATCGATTCACACGTGATACGCGTATCTTGAATCATCCATCCAAGCTGATTGCTCACCGGCCTTCGTTCAAGCGACGATCGATCAAAGAGCAAGAAGCTAGGATAATACGAATTTTCCTTCGCATCGATCGGAATAGCAATTAGCATAGTGTGTGCCTACTTTATCGACCGTGCGTTCGATGGCGTGCACACGGTTATTAGCACGGTTGTCGTTCGCTGAATGGATATCAATCACTCTAATGGGGATTCGCGCGTGTAAAGCATGACGTGCAATCAGATCACATCATTTATCCAAGATGGCTCAAAGAGGTTAGGTCGTGGCTTCGTGCAACGGGATAGTTGCGCTCGAGTTTCCAAGAAACGATGGAGGATGATTCGAGAGATCCCGTGCTGATGAATTTTCGAACAATTTCATCTTATTGGGTTGGTAAGGGTATTGTTCAGAGGTTACGAGTTTGTAGACACGTTGACAAATGTTAAGGGTGATAGGTTTATAGATGAATTTTAGATGCGAGTTTCGTGTTTGATGTGTTTTGTGCGAGTTCCGATTTTGAGGTTAGGATTGTTTGAAACTGGTTTGAAACTAGGTTTTATCGAAGCCTTGATCGATAATATTGTTAAAAATGTTGAAAATATTCGTTCAGTGAAGTGCAGTTTTATTACACAGGATGTTTTAATCTCGTTGATTGATAATTGCCAATATCGACAATATTATTGATCATGTACGGATTCTTTTAAACAAAAGTTTCGATTAAAATATATATACGCATGATACAAACAAAAAACTATATTTAAAATTTATTTACAAATCTATCATCTTCTTCGGCATTTTATATATTATAGTTACATAGAATACTGTTGTATTATATAATAATATAGGAGTATTGTTATTCAAAGTGGAGAGATGTAACTTTCTGACAGGGAGTTATCACGAGAATAATTCAATTCTATCAGTTTCCTTGATACGCATTTGTGAATTACTTACTTTATTAAACTACTTATTTTTATTATTATTTTATTATATGATGCTTTACTATATATTTTAGATATAATGCACAGACTTGAATAAGAGGAACTTTGTGCCGAGCAGCTCTTTGGGCTGATTTTAATCAGATTAATTAAAAGGAATGGCCAATAACAGAGCGATTCTTTCTTCCGTGAAGTCTCCAAGCATCGGGTTCCTTTCGTTTTATACGACGCGACCTCGACGAATCGAGGCCGGTGCACATTTTTCTCGGGTCAAAGTTAATTCTCTTAATAATTTTCGACCGCCTTCCCTTATTTTCCTTTTTTTTTTTTCGTGCCTCCTTTTTGAAATTGCTTCCGCTCGATGACCGTTCTTCGGGGAACAAGTTTACTCGATTAACCGAAAGAACCCTTTAGCCGGTGAGCCACTGTGAAAACAAAAGCACGTGGAATAAAGACGAAACGAGACGAGAAGCGGAATTATTTCGTGAAATTTGGCGAACGAAGAAAGGAACGTTTTATTGATTCAAGGAGTATAAACCTTTTCAGAATGGAATGAAAAGTCTTGGAAAATATTCGTTTCGACGTTTTGTCATGAGAGTGTACGAAAAATTGAAGGTGCAGAGCGAACGGTTAAATTTAAGGAATGGCAGCGAGCAATAAATCTCTATTGAATTCTAATTAGGTACACTTTTAATCGCTAATAAGTAATAAAATCATTGGATGCTTTTCAAATATTCTCTTTCATTTGTTCGATATTTTTCAGATATCATCGTGTGATTAATTTTTAATTTTTACTATTTCCTTCACTTTCCTGTCACTTACTGGAATCTCTCGCTCGCCACCAAACTTCAGACAAGTGATTTCTAGGGGAAAAATGAAACGTTACTAGACGTTCTCTGCCTTGAGATGAGCGTCATGGACACTTTGATTGCTTGTATCTCAGCAATCGATTGAGGTATCGATACGAATCAAAAAGTGACTTCAATGCCATCGTTTCCTGATATTTTGATCGATGACAATATTTTTTAGTTTATTCTTTTTACACGACAGTTATTTAAGTGTAGTTTTATGCGATTGCAATGATTTGTTGTAAGATACGTAGAGATTTAAATTTATTTAATTCCACGTTTATATAGTATAAATAATGATAAATACGATAAATTGTTATGTGTTGTTGGATTTAAGCTTCGTTGTCTTCCTCTCGTTGCACGATTGATTTATATTTTTTATTTGAGATTCTTTGCATTCCATCATACTATCACACGAATATCTTTCACTCACTGTGATGAAATATCGAAATATCTGTCGGTGATAAATCTAAAATTCCTTTCATCGAGCATGTGATACGAATTTTAGCAAAAGTATGTAAAGAAGAAAATAAAAAATTTTAACAAATTTTAACAAATTCACAGAATCTAATTCTACTACATTTTGTATTAATTTTATTGCACACAATTTATCGTTTTCTTTTTTTAAATTCGTGAATATTTTTAGAGACCAGCCAACGATGTAGAAATAAATATATCGAACACGCGGTGAACCAAGTATTGTATTTCGACGAAAAATATTTTACAGTTGGTAAAATAGAAACTGTGCGTTTGAAAGATAATCCCGATTTCGAACGATCAAACATAATCCTCTGAAGGCAAGACGATAATTTATTATTACCAATACAACATCGGGATAAGCAATAACTCTATTTTATTTTTAGTTGAGAAATTCGAATAAAATTGCTTTTCTAAATGCCCTGTTGAATCGAAACTATTTGAATGATATTTATACACCTTTCGAAAAATTTTATTCTATATTTTTCGAAATATTTATATATATATCTTAAAAAAAAAAAGATGTATCTATATTTTATTCAAGAATAGTATATTCATCAGATAACAATAATAAAATTCATAAAACGTTTGGAAAAGAAATAAAATGATGTTCTTGTTGAATAATTAATAATATAAATAATAAATATAAAGAATATAACGTTCTAACAGACATAAATATTGAGATAAAATTTTTAAATAAAAATGAAAAGCTCTCTTAGATATATTTACGTTGCAACGATTAAGCAAAGGAAAAAGCTGTGAATTGGCTTTAATTACAGAAGAATTGGAGAAGTATTGTCCAAAGAGGATAATTAAAATGATTAAACACATACATACATGCATACATACAGAATAATCAAGTTTGTGCATTGTTTCATTTATTAATTATTATAGTAGACAAGAAATTATATATCATATAATTCATTGTATTATGTAAATTATTATGTAAATTATTATGTATATGTAAATTGTTTTTTCTATATATTTATATATCTACTCTGTACTTTTAGAAAATAAAAATATAGAATATATGATAACATTTTTAGTATATTTTATATACCTTTTTTTCCTAATTTTTGAAAATATGATAGTTTAAAGAATACAAATCATATATTTGAGAATAAAAGACTTTAGAATCCTTCTGGAAAGCATTTTTTACAAGCAAAAAATAATTTGAGCGTAATATTGCTTGCAATAATTAATTGGAAAGTAATGTTTATTGTCAACGCAGTACCATTAATAAAAAATAGGTCTCCAGAAAAATTCTTGATAATTTCTCAAATGTATTGGCATCCAAATTAATAAAAAACAAAAAGTAAGTATTAAATATGTCAAATTTTATAATTACTATTAAGTAAAGTAATGTACTTCCTGGAAACAAAGTGCCATAAAAAGGTAAGTATAAAAGGTAAATGGAATTAAAATTCAAGAAAAATTTCATCCATGAATTCAATAATCTATGACAAACAGAAAAATTCGAAGAATTTCAGGAATTCATAGAAATAACGTCAAACTGAAAGAATTTATAAAATTTTTGGAACTGGCGTCAAATTCTTAGAATTTCTTAAATATTTGGATTCTATTAAAATTTTTGGCTAAAAATGCGACTTTGTATTAGGAGAACATGATACGATAGGAGGTCGATCGAAAAATTTTTCCGAGAACTGACGTCAAATTCTCGGAAGTGTTCGAACGATTCATGGACATTTTTCGATGTATCTCGCTTATTTTTCGAGATATTAAAAAATGTTTGGAATAAAAGTTGCTTGGTTTCGAGAGGGGCACGTCCTGCTGCTGTTCATTTTTTTATAAATAAAAGGGTTACGGACTTATAAACGCGAACATGGTTTTTTTAAATGGGACTGTACACTTTTTAATACACCAATCGTTGCCCCTTAATATTCTCTATAAAAAAGTATTAAGCCATATATGGCAAAAAACTTATGGTTTAAGAAATAATTAATATCTTCTAAACTAATGGTTTTTTAGTAAAAATACCCCTCTTCATTTTTATAGAGAATGCCAGGATGCATAGATTGGTGTATGAAAAAATATATGGTGCAATTTAAAAAAATAAGCGTGACCTTGATAATTTTTTTATGAGTTGATTCACGAAAAAATTGAGGGCACCGGAATATAGCCCTTTCGAAACCATTCAACTTTCATTCGAAACATTTTTTAATATCTTGAAGAATAAGCGAGATATTTAATAAAAAAGATTGGTTTCGAAATTCCCTGTTCGAAGTAAAATTTTTGTCCAAAAATGCGACTTTGTATTAGGAGAACATGATACGATAGGAGGTCGATCGAAAAATTTTTCCGAGAAATGACGTCAAATTCTCGGAATCCCTGAAATTCTTGGAAATGACGTCGATTTCTCGGAACCTCTAAAATTCTTGGAACTGGGGCCACGTTCTGTGTATCTCTAAAATTCTTGGAAGTGACGTCAAATTCGTGGAATTTTTCGGAACTGTTCGAACAATAGTTCCACATTTTTCGATATATCTCGCTTATTTTTCGAGATATTAAAAAATGTTTGGAATAAAAGTTGCTTGGTTTCGAGAGGGGCACGTCCTGCTGCTGTTCATTTTTTTATAAATAAAAGGGTTACGGACTTATAAACGCGAACATGGTTTTTTTAAATGGGACTGTACATTTTTTAATACACCAATCGTTGCCCCTTAATATTCTCTATAAAAAAGTATTAAGCCATATATGGCAAAAAACTTATGGTTTAAGAAATAATTAATATCTTCTAAACTAATGGTTTTTTAGTAAAAATACCCCTCTTCATTTTTATAGAGAATGCCAGGATGCATAGATTGGTGTATGAAAAAATATATGGTGCAATTTAAAAAAATAAGGGTGACCTTGATAATTTTTTTATGAGTTGATTCACGAAAAAATTGAGGGCACCGGAATATAGCCCTTTCGAAACCATTCAACTTTCATTCGAAACATTTTTTAATATCTTGAAGAATAAGCGAGATATTTAATAAAAAAGATTGGTTTCGAAATTCCCTGTTCGAAGTAAAATTTTTGTCCAAAAATGCGACTTTGTATTAGGAGAACATGATACGATAGGAGGTCGATCGAAAAATTTTTCCGAGAAATGACGTCAAATTCTCGGAATCACTGAAATTCATGGAAATGACGTCGATTTCTCGGAACCTCTAAAAATTCTTCTGGAAATAACTTGTTGTATTCTTGGAAATTTCCAATTGTTTAAACATACGGAATTTTTGGCCAAAAATTCGATTTTATATTAGGAGAACATGAATTGATAGGAAATCGATTGAAAGATTTTCAGGAATTCCAATAGTTCTTGGAAATGGTGTCAAATTCTTAGAATTTCTGAAATTTCTACAATCTAATTTACATAAATACTTACTTGCTTTTCTTTACATTACAGTTATAATCATTTTGTTTTTTTCAACAGTTTCCTTATTTCTAAAGATACTTACCTTCCCATACTTACGTTCTTTACCTGTTTTCTTATAATATAGCGAGTCTCTTATGATATATTTAATATCAAATTATTAAAGAATGAATTTTATATTTACATCACTTAATTTTTTAATTATATTGAAAAATGCAACACAAGTGAGCACAAAATAAATAATCTACTTTAATTTTGTTTGTAAAAAAGTTATGGTATTTTAAAAATTGTCAATTTTTTCTTTAAGAATTGCTCTTTTAATTCGACAACAATAAGAAAAGAATTCCCCAAAAAACTAAGAAATACTAAGTTATTCTGGACTCTTTTCCCTTTAAAATGAATCCAGAATGATTAATCTAAGATATTTCTCGCGAAAATTATAATATATCAAATATTGATAACCTTTTCTTCAAAAATTGCTTGACTTATTTAACTTGTCATAGAGTAGAAAACAATTCCCCAAAAGATTGAAAAATGCTACGCTATTTTACACTCTTTTCACTTTAAAATGAGCTTTGATTGATCATTCTAGGACATTTCTATCTAAAATTATGGTATTTCACAGATTGACAAATTTTTTTCCAAAAATTACTTGATTCGTTTAATTTGTCATTGTTTTCCCTAGGAAACAATTCTCCAAAAAATTAAATGCTCCACTATTCGAGAAACTCTTTTCCCTTTAAAATGAACCATGAAAGATTACTGCGATATTTATGAATGTATGCGATATTATTAATTAGAACTTGGGGAAGGATTATATGTCGCTATAAGCATCGTATTTATATATGTATGAAATATATATATATATATATAATGACTCGAGTTGGCATTTGTATGTTTCGAATAAATTATTCAGTTCAACGAGATTATAAGCGTCAAGCATGTGCAGTATTGATTGTACAAAATTGAAATGAAAACTCGAAAGTAATTTCTGAGACAATCGTTCGACTTTATATGCTATTTTTATTACTATATATGCCATATATATCGCGACAAAAAATTATTTTTACCCTTTGTATGTAACAATCTCATTTATTTTTTCTAACACAATTGAATAAAGAAAATAGCTGTACATACATTAATTTTTTCACCAATCCTTCATTAAATATATTGATTTTACAAAATTTTTTTTTGCAAATAACACGTTGCAAAGTAACAAATAAAATTTCGATTGCTACTCCAATTCAACGTTTGTTTTCCAGATGCAAAGTTCCAGAAGCAGGCATCCTATGTTTCACTTGGGAAACAATGTTTCAACTTTACTCTGATTTCTCGTACACACACGTTACCAGACTCGGTAACATCTTTTATACATTTCGCAAAAGATACGAATTTTCAACAGTTCTTTTTAGTTTGAATACAAATCCCCTTACAGGCCCGCCCACCGGCCTCGAAAGTTTGAATAAATACATGAAGATCGCGTTTCATACCGAATTATCAATATTTCTCTCACGCCGAAAGTATTCGGTGGGAAAACACCGGTAAAATACCGGCACATCCTTTCTTTTCGCACGTTCTAAAAATCCCTATACCCCTCCACCAAATCCCTATATCCATCCACCAATCAATTCTATATACTATAATATTCAAAACTGCAATTCTGTTCCCGCTTTCATTCATTTATTTTGGATTATTTTTCGATATATCTCGCTTATTTTTCGAGATATTAAAAAATGTTTGGAATAAAAGTTGCTTGGTTTCGAGAGGGGCACGTCCTGCTGCTGTTCATTTTTTTATAAATAAAAGGGTTACGGACTTATAAACGCGAACATGGTTTTTTTAAATGGGACTGTACATTTTTTAATACACCAATCGTTGCCCCTTAATATTCTCTATAAAAAAGTATTAAGCCATATATGGCAAAAAACTTATGGTTTAAGAAATAATTAATATCTTCTAAACTAATGGTTTTTTAGTAAAAATACCCCTCTTCATTTTTATAGAGAATGCCAGGATGCATAGATTGGTGTATGAAAAAATATATGGTGCAATTTAAAAAAATAAGGGTGACCTTGATAATTTTTTTATGAGTTGATTCACGAAAAAATTGA